ACACAACATCTGCACAAATAGATTAGATAGAGAGATAGATAGATAGAGAGAGAGAGAGACAGATAGATGGATGGATGGATGGATGGATAGATAGATAGATAGATACTGCATTGCTGTCTACATATATAAGAAAGCATCCTAACTGGAATCTAAATGGTGAAGCATGTGCAACTGAAGCATGCGGCTCACAATTGATTTCAATAGAGTTTGGGTTCATGCAATGGACTAATAAGCATAAAAATACACAGCACACACAAATATTGTGTAAAACAGTAACATTTTTATCTGAGCTCATCAGATTGCATTCTGGCATCGCCCTCTCTATGAAGACAGAAGGTATTTAATGCCAGAGTTATTATAGCAGAAGTGTAGTGATATCTTGAAACGCAGCTGATAGATAGATAGAGAGAGAGAGAGAGAGAGAGACAGATATATGGATGGATGGATGGATAGATAGATAGATATATATGGATGGATGGATGGATAGATAGATAGATACTGCATTGCTGTCTACATATATAAGAAAGCATCCTAACTGGGATCTAAATGGTGAAGCATGTGCAAATGAAGCATGCGGCTCACAATTGATTTCAATAGAGTTTGGGTTCATGCAATGGACTAATAAGCATAAAAATACACAGCACACACAAATATTGTGTAAAACAGTAACATTTTTATCTGAGCTCATCAGATTGCATTCTGGCATCGCCCTCTCTATGAAGACAGAAGGTATTTAATGCCAGAGTTATTATAGCAGAAGTGTAGTGATATCTTGAAACGCAGCTCACTAGGTTTTGGAACACAGAGAGAGTTTCTGCCTCAGGAAAACCATTAGGATTTGTCTTTTTTCATCTGCAATGGCTCGCATGTTTCTGTCTATACCTGTAACAAATGCATGCAAATGCACCTTTGCATCGTAACACGCTTAACTAAGACTCTCTCAGGTTTGATGAGACACAGCAGATGTTCTAACAGTTACATTAATGACTCACGCCCTGCTAAAAATAACCGTCTTTGGGTGTGATTTATTATTTATATGCGTGCGCGTGTGTGCTCCGCCTCTCTTCTGTAGCATCGCTGTTGAAGGGCAGTGTTGAGGAAAGTTACTTTTAAAAGTAATGCATCACAATATTGCGTTACTCTTTAAAAAAAGTAACTATTCGCGGTACTTTAAAA